AAATGCAATAGTAACAACAAACTATAAAATTTCCACGAATTATACAAAAGTAAATTTTGGTTTTGAGTCATTGAACAGGTAAAAATGATGACTGCTACAAAATCCACTTCTACAGTCTTTAAGTTAAGAAATCTAATAAGATAACAGAGAAAGCACACATAACATAAGAAAACACACTTTTTTTTTGAGAATGGTGTTACTGAATTTCTTAAAAAGCAAAAGGATTTTAGATAAAACGGATGTCAAAGGTGTTAGGATCAATCTGCCAAACATTCAGAGCTGCATATTCCTCCAAACACTCCTTAAGCTGAGCCTCACTGTATCCCTGTTTACATCCAAATCACTCAGGTCTCAGTGATCGTTCATATATCAGAAAAAGAAAAAGAAAGAAGAAGTAAACAAACCTTTCTAGAGATCCAGTTAAGTGCATTTGCGTAGGTCACATGTGTCTTGTTCGATCTTGCAGCTTCGTCTCTTATGATGGAGTATGTGTCTGATATTGCATCCAGTCCTGCTTTTTGTCGATCATCCGCATACAATGATATTTTCGACATCTGCATTAGTCTAAGCGCTTCATCCACATCACTTTGTGCCACTGATTCTGAGAATCTCAACCTTGCTAGTGCCTATAGAACAAAAGCAAAATCATTTACTTCCACAAAGTGTGCCCCCAACTCAATCCAACCCAGGTTTCCTACTTCAAAGTCTTTTTGGTTTTTGGATTCTACTTACAGCGGATATGCGTAGAATGCTGAGCAGAGTTCTCACGGTTGTGTAAGAATGAGGAGTATTTGATTTCGCTTCTTCTTGCCTGATGCTGGAATAAGCTGTTGCTATATATTCCTCTAACTCTGCTGGAACGTGTGGTGATAATCTCCTCGCAGCTGAAATGTATGCACTAGAGAAACCAGACAGAGATGCTCATGTTAAAGTCTATGACTCTGCTGAACAAGAAGAATTTTATAGAAGCGATTTAACCTACCGGAGAATATTAGGTTCCAGCGGCTCAAAGCCAAGCGCAGGAGATTCTCTTGTCTGGTGCACATGAAGTACATGCTTAGCCAATTCAAGGTCACTGTCCATATCAGCTCGATCTAAGATCAACCACAGAAGATCGAATCTTGAAAGAAGGGCTGGTGGAAGATTGATATTTTCAGCGGGGGTTCTTCGCAAATCGTATCTTCCCCTTCATAAACACAAAAATACATTAACTTATAGCAACGGTCCCAAACCTTTCATAAGATTTTATTTTTTATTCATACTAGAAAGGTCAGTTACCAGGCTGGATTGGCTGCAGCAAGAACAGCTGTTCGAGCGTTCAAAGACGTGGTAATCCCAGCTTTCGCAATGCTTACAGTTTGCTGCTCCATGACCTCATGAATTGCAGTACGATCGGATTCATCCATCTTATCAAACTCATCAATTGCACAGATTCCCATGTCAGCCAGGACCTGAAATAGAAATTGTACCAAATGCTAGAAATCACATAGCTCTTAGCAAGACATCATACTTTCTATAATATCCTAAGCAAAGAATCATTGTATCTCACCAGTGCTCCTCCTTCTAAAACCATCTCATTTGTCACTTGATCTCTCATAACAGCGGCTGTTAGACCAACTCCACTGCTACCTTTTCCTGTTGTGTAGACTCCCCTTGGAGCAACATTTATAATGTGCTTCAGAAGCTGACTTTTGGCAACTCCAGGATCACCCATCAGACATATATGCACATCTCCTCTGATCTGCAAGATAATTCATACATGGCTGATTTTAGTATTCTACGCAAATTATATATGTTCCAATCAATTGCAATGTGCTTTCGAATGGCTGCACACCTGTACCCAAAATATAAATCATAAAGCTCCATAACTCAATGAACAACGACGACAGACACGTCAAGTGAATGGAAAGAGGCAAGGCGATAAAGTTAGAGATGAACTAAAGCAAACAACTACTTTGTATAGTTTTCATTATAAAAAGGTAGGAACATCATGGGAACATTGCAAGATAAAACTAGAGGACAGGAAACTTAACCTTCATCCCATCCTTTAACTGCCTGTGAGGAGCACCCACAAGAAGGAGAAGCAAAGCTTTTTTAATATCTTCATGTCCATAAATCTCAGGGGCCAGAGATCGTGATAGCTTATTGTAAATGTCACCATCCTCGGCCAAACGTGCAATCTGTTCTTCCTCATCTTTCTGAAACTCATATCTGTAGATTTTAATAGAAAAAGGTCAAGATGTTTTAGCAAATGCCAAAAACATGGAAACGTTACTAAATCAGATATTTCTTCAGAGTTCAGGTGTAGCATTGGCTTACTCTTCGTATTTCTTCTTGAAATGAGTCACAGCTGTTGCTTCCAGATATGTGTCTGCTACTAGGCCAGCTCGAAGTGCCTTGAACCCAGTGTAAGGAATGGGAAGAAAAATCCCTGAGAATTCAACAACGTCACCAGGTGCTACCTACAAGGGTTTCAAGGAATCTGGTAAGAAATTAACAATCCTACTACGGTAAGTGACACAAACTAACAATAAACTTTGATCGAGTTCCGGTACAGCAAAAGAAAAAATTCCTCTTGAATGCAGAGCAAGTAAAAAAATTATATAAAGTTATTTGCTTCGCATCTAATGAAAATATCTAGACTCCCGGCAGGGTTCACTGTTCTGTTAGGAGCTGTTTTAAATCCATTAAGCTAGAGTATTCCATATCAGTGTATTTAAGCCGAATAATACTATTCCTAAGCAACCTAGCTATTGATTCTTTAAGGTAAACAACTACACTATAATAAAAGGTCAAGAAAAACAACCTTTCTTGTCAACTCTCCTCTTAGATGAACAGTCATTGACCTCGGAATATGCCCTTTAGGTACATGCTCAGCCAACTCTTGCATCTTGGCCTGCAATGTAAGAACTCTTTTACTCATTAATTTGATATCAGTGCAAACATTCACATAAATGACACTCTCCAAACAGAACAGAACCTCCTGGAACTTTAGAAACTTTGATGCTCTGAGCTGAAGAATAGGATTTCCGGATTTGTTGTTAAGGCGACAGCGGCTGGAGGGGCACTTAAACAAAGGCATGAAAACTCTTGATGTGACTTCCTGATTTGGCATGTAACAGGAAGATAATCAGAATCAGTATTAGAGAAATAATAATTATAAAAACTACGATCTGGCAGGCATAGTTGAGTACCTGGTAAATTTCATGACCACAATCTTCGCATGTGTACACAGCAACCGCCATCAGTGGCTTGACATCGGAACAGCGAGTCACAATACCAGCTATCCTGACAAGTTGCCCAATGTGTGAAGCCTTAACCTCCCTAATGGTAGATGGCCGTCCCTTTGAAGGAGCTTTAAAATAAACCTCGCTGAATCAAAAATGAATTCATTAGCAAACTTTTGATAGAAATATTCAACCGAAAACTTGAGTCATCAACAAAACGATCCAGTCAAGTAAGGGTAATAACAGTCCCTCAACTAAGCTATCAGTAACAATCCACACAAAAAATGAAGATTCTCACACACATTAGACTACACAGATTCATAAGAACTTACTAAAATCTTTTAATCTCCGAAGGAATTTGCTGACGCGAATCAGGAACATCTGCATTATCAGTTACATCCTCGGCTCTCTGTGTCATCAGTATATCATGATCATCATCTGGAAATGCCTCCGTTGGCTCAGGTAGCAACTCGTCAATTGCGGCGGAGAAAATGGAAACATATCGGCGGGTGTTTTCAGTCAACCGTCTGAAAAACTCCTCATCATCATTCTTGTGCTGCAACAGCAAAGAGACGAGTAAGTTCACTAAGCTTTACAATATCCATAAAGGAGCAACATGAGATTAACAACAAAAAAAACTCACATTGAATAGGTCCTCCAGATCGATCTGAATAGCCCGAATCTTACGATTCGCAACTTCTTGCTACAGAAATCAGACAAAAGGAGGAAGATATAAGAATTATTGTCGTAGCCCAGATATAAAATTCACAATACGCAGGTTCCCAGAATATTTTCGCGAAAGCCATACATAAAATATGAAGACGAAACCAAAACGAAAAATCTACAAAATAGAGAGATGATTCGACCTAGAGGGCATAAATGAATCCACCAATTTCAATTAGATTGTTGATTAATCGAGTTAGCCCTAACTTAGGGAGATCCGCTAAAACCCTAGAATTAGAAAAATCTGGTAAACAAAATCAGGAGACACTCACGAGAATCTCCAGGTACTTAGATCCGCCATTAACATCGGAGAAATTCGCGAGAAATTCCTTGGCAAGCGCTGCAAAAAAAGAATCAAAACCACATGAGAACAAAAGAGGAAGAGTTTATCGAGGAGGGGCACACAAAAGGAAGAAGCGGAGAGATTTTACCTTTGTCGGCTTCGTAATCATGCTCTTTCATGGTTGAAACTTAGGCTAAGGCTAGAGAGAAGAGAGAGAGAGTCGGAGAGAAAGAGTGAGAGACAAAGGAATGACGATTGACTGCTGCAAAATTTAGGCGGCAAAGCGATGTAAATTAAGACGAGATTTAGGCGGGAAAAATACAGAGAGTGACGACGAGAAAGGGCGGGGTATGAATGGACGGTCCAGATCTAATGATATGGTGATATGTGCAGATGTCGAAGATAATTTTTTTTTTAAAAAAAAAAATGAAAAAGTGTGGCTGCTGGGATTCGAGCCCAGGTCTCCACGGCCACAACGTGGAATTCTAACCACTAAACTACAGCCACTTTGTTGTTGATTTACCCAATGTTTTATTTATATCAAGCTACGTTTGTTTTTTGTTTTTGTTTTTTGTCAACATATCTAGCTATGTTTAAAATTCCGTTACCAATAATGGTTTGTATTTATTATATTTTTTGTTTTTTTTTGATATTTTCCTATAGCAAATGTGGACAAGCTTTGTCACCTTCATTTTTAGTTAAAAGGCTTTGTCATCTTCATCTTCCTCCATTATTATGAAAACTACTTTGTATGTGTTATTTCTTCTTACATTTTTTTTCCCCTACTCAAACCATTGTTAATGATTCATTCTCTCTAGACTCTAGTCTCTCTTTTTTTTTCTCCATATTTGAATCCGTTTGTAGTGTTTAGGTTTTGATTAGATTTGTGAATCGTCTTCTATTCGACTCTAGTTTTATTTTGGCTTTCATCAAACTTGGTCAACAAACATCTTTAACATCGCCTTTATATTAGGCGATTAAAATTCATGAAATAAATAGCAAATGGAGTCTGAATAATTTGAGTCTACAGAAAATCGTCACATCTTCCTTCTTCTTCCTCTTCTTTCTCCTGTAACTCTGTAAGTAAGTCTTCTTAATAATTTCTCCGAATTTCTTCCGGAATCAGGACCGAATCTGTTTTTCTTCAACCTACGATGACCAATCACACATGTCACGATTCTTTACTCTCTTACAATAATCAGAGAAACTGATTAAAAACAATTTTGGTTTTTTTTTTCCAGGTGTTGAACGGATATAAGAGAGGAATCAAAAGAATAAAGAACAAACACTTTATCAACATGACATTTGGCAAAAAGGTTTTAAACAAAAAATCCTTCTTTTTCTACTCTGCTTAAATTCCCACGGCCACGAACAAGAAGATTTGTGAAAATGTAGATCATATTAAGACATGCAAATCCGCATTAAATAAGGTCAACATTTGTGTTGTGCAGATTTGTTTGACAGAATTAATGTTTAGATAAGTTCAAGTAAAGGGCATCCCTTAAATTTTTTTTTTTTTTTGCAAGACATCTCTTTATTGTTAAGCTTTTAATTCCCAACAATGATCTACCAAACACTAATAATTCACATGCAAATATCACAAATCTCAAAGAGGAAAAACTGAATCTGAGCCACGTGAAATGAATATACCCCTTTTGTTTCGTTTTCTCTCAGATTCTGGAAATTTGAGTAAAAAAAAAAAGTCAACCATTGCAGCAAACTCTTAAGAAGCAAAGCAAACCAAAGAGAAAAAGAAGAAGAAGAAGAAAATGGCAGGAGGGTCGTTTGGTCCTACCGGTGTGGCAAAGGAAAGAGCAGAGCAATACCAAGGGAAAGTCACTGGCTATGTCATAATCGCTTGCCTTGTTGCAGCCATTGGTGGATCCATCTTTGGATATGACGTTGGAATCTCAGGTTCTTTATCTTCTTCTTCTTCTTCTTCCTCCTCTCTGGAATCCAAAAATCTGAAACCTTGTGATGTTTACAGGAGGAGTCACATCAATGGATGAATTCCTTGAAGAGTTTTTCCACTCAGTGTATGAGAAGAAGAAGCATGCTCACGAGAGTAACTACTGCAAATATGATGATCAAGGATTAGCTGCTTTCACTTCTTCACTCTACTTGGCTGGTTTGGTCTCGACCCTGGTCGCTTCGCCTATCACTAGGAACTATGGAAGGCGTGCAAGTATTGTCTGTGGTGGAATCAGCTTTTTTCTTGGAGCTGCTTTGAACGCTGGAGCTGTGAATCTAGCAATGCTTCTTGCGGGACGGATCTTGCTCGGTATTGGCATTGGCTTTGGAAATCAGGTAGACATAATTTTCCTTTGTTGAACCAAATCTATGAATCTTTGGCGATAAACCAATCTCATCATTATGACAGTAGCTTGCTTCTGGTTTTGTTTTCAGGCGGTTCCTTTGTATTTATCAGAGGTGGCACCAACACATCTGCGAGGTGGTTTAAACATGATGTTTCAGTTAGCAACAACTCTTGGGATCTTCACGGCGAATATGGTCAATTTCGGTACTCAAAAGCTCAAGCCTTGGGGATGGAGACTCTCTCTTGGTCTGGCTGCTTTTCCAGCTTTGCTTATGACGCTTGGCGGGTTTTTGTTACCCGAGACTCCCAACAGTTTGGTCGAGAGAGGATTAACGGAGAGAGGAAGACGAGTTCTTGAGAAGCTAAGAGGAACGAAAAACGTCAATGCAGAGCTACAAGACATGGTAGATGCGAGCGAGCTTGCGAATTCAATCAAGCATCCATTCAGGAACATTCTGCAGAAACGACACAGGCCACAGCTAGTTATGGCAATTTGCATGCCAATGTTTCAGATCCTAACAGGGATAAACTCCATTCTCTTCTACGCGCCGGTTCTGTTTCAGACAATGGGATTCGGAGGAAACGCTTCTCTCTACTCATCAGCATTAACAGGAGCTGTTCTTGTCCTCTCAACATTGGTTTCTATAGCGTTAGTGGACAGACTTGGACGACGAGCTCTTCTCATCAGTGGAGGATTACAAATGATAATCTGTCAAGTCATAGTCGCAGTGATCTTGGGAGTGAAATTCGGAGACAACCAAGAGCTATCAAAAGGGTACTCAATAGTTGTAGTCATCTTCATTTGCCTCTTTGTGATAGCTTTTGGATGGTCTTGGGGACCTCTTGGATGGACCATACCGAGCGAAATCTTCCCGTTGGAGACTCGTTCAGCTGGGCAGAGTATCACTGTTGCTGTGAATCTCCTCTTCACTTTCATCATAGCTCAAGCTTTTCTTTCTCTCCTCTGTGCATTCAAGTTTGGCATCTTCCTCTTCTTTGCTGGTTGGGTCTCAGTGATGACAATCTTTGTCTATTTCTTGCTGCCTGAAACCAAAGGAGTGCCAATTGAAGAGATGACACTCTTGTGGAAGAAACATTGGTTCTGGAAAAAAATATTACCTGAAACAAATCCTGAAACAAATCATGAAGCTGAAGCTGAGAGAAACAATGAGACAAATACAAATAGCTCTGTCTAAAGAGAACAGATTCTGTAAGATTATAACTTGTTGTCATCATTATTATTGATTTTTCGAGAATCCAAAACAATGAAAACTTTTGTGTTATACTAAGATTATTATATAGCATTAAAAAAACAAAGATTGTGATCATCATGTGACAACTACAAACGGAAAATTTAGCACATGAAGAATCCAAAAACACACAACAAAAAAGCCATAGATATAGAGTCACGGTGACTGTTTCCCTCTCCTCCCCAAATACAGAGTTTGGAACTTTGAGCAGCCAAAGATTGGTTGCAATTGGCGATGGCGATCACAACACTCTCCATCTTTCTTCTTTATGTGAAACAAACAATTGTTTCCTCTTGTCTTCAGGATTCTTCAACATAGGCTTCGAAAGAGACGGCGTTTGCAAGCTATTTTAGGGTTTCCCGATAAATCTAAACAAGGAGCTTGTTCTTCCCCAAAAAACATGGAATAGGAAGAGAGCATGGAGGCGGAGAAACTGAACAACCAGTACCGGCGTATTTTCCGGCGACGATCTCCAATCCTTTAAAAGCTCCGATCTGCTTCTGCACAGTCTCCGGGTCGGGTCCGATTCTATTAGTGGATGCTACAACGAGATCAACATCAGTCGTCCTCAAAGCAGATCGGTTTTTATCATCACCATCTCGATCGACGCAGCTACTACTACTATTCTCCTTGCTCCGGAACGCGCTCAGTGTCTCGCCGCGTTTGAGGATCTTGACTTGTCCCATAACAAGATTGGTATTCGCCGCCGGAGATACAACCAACTTTCTCGACTGAGACGCCGTAGGGGTTCGCTTGCGTCGTCGAGGAGCCGCGTTAGCGTGACGGTGGGTTAGGGTTTCGTGATCGAAACGATTCTTTAAAGAGTTTCGAGAAGAGAGAATCGCAGTGGCCATCGCTTTAGGCTTTTTTGATTAGAAAAAGATAAACTTGAAGAAGATGGACTCAAGGGAACTCTTTTTATATACAACCTGTGACACGACCGACTGGGAATAATGGAATATCTATTAAACTTACCTCTAATGTAATTTAGGGTTTTACTGGAACTATTTGACTTTTAATTTTTAATTTAGTTTAGTTTAGGGTTTCCACATCATTCCTAATCAAATATGTCGGCTTTTGCCAACAATTCAAATAGTTTATGAAATACGTAAACAGTTTGATGGTTTTGATTTACACTACCGGATGAAGCAAAAATATGGCAAAAATCATGAGACACAACAACACACACTCGCTTTGTTTTGAGTTGATTGGTTATATAATTTTCAAGAGGAGGAAACTGTGTTGTTGTTGTTGTTGTTGTTGTGCTCCTTTGACTTAGCGAGCTTAGCTTGTATGAGTTTGTCCAAGATCGGTGGCTCCAATGGAATCACATCAAGACACCTCTCTGAAGCCGCAACAATCACCTGTTAGCGCACACAACACGGTCAGAGAATGAATGGTCAGATCCAAAATTAGCAGCTAGACACAGTAATCCAAAATAACCAAATACTAAGTGGTTAAGAGAAGAAAAGCCATGGAAGAAGCTTTTGGTGTGTACAATCACCTCGTCGAGCAAGAAGTCGATTGCAGCTTCGTCCTCAACTGTTTCTTTCAATGGAGCTTTTAGGAACTGAATGTCTAGCTGAATCTGTTGGAACCCGCTCCGGTTAAACGTTTGGAGCCGAACATATTCTTGCAAACTCTTCAGGCAGAGCTTTACTGTTGTCGTAACAACTGATTCCTGCAAGTATTTTAGCATTAAAACAAAGTAAATAAAAAAAAAGACGAGGAGATGACGCTCCGTGTGTGTTTGATGCCGGAACCTCCTATTTTATTTGTTGTTTCTTACCTGGGTAAATTCAACCTTGGTGAATATTTCTACTTTTTGCTTGAACAGTTTTGCTAGATGTGTCTCGAAAAGCTGGCTTCGTGCTCTCTGTGAATTCGACCGTGCCATCTTATCGTTATGGAGTGTATTGCTCCGTGATGAGGTTGTAGTGTTACTTCCGTTGCTGTCTGATCTCTTGTGCTTACGGAAAGTTCCTTGAGGTAAGATTTGTTTCACTTCTTTACCAACTTCTTCTAACTACAAAGCGGAATTCCAAAAAAAGAAAGTCAGCTGTCGCATCTTCCTTGGTTATATTTTCCAGATTGAAAGGAGAATATTTGTCAAACCTGTTGAAGAAACATATCGACAAACATGTGAACCTCTCGTGGCTCCTTGTGCTGCAGAATTTTTAGAATCTTCAGTAAACAGTGACTGGTAGAATGCTTCTGTAAGAGGATTAGTCACACAACAAAGGCAGTTACCTTAACCCAGTTTGGTGTCTTGAACCTCTTTCTTAGTACAATCGATATCTTCTGTGTTCTTGTATCTATGTACTGAAATATTGGAAATGATTCAGTTAGTTGATGTTAAGTTTTTGTAAACGACCTCAACATTTGGAGTTTAATTCATACATGCTGGAGAAGTTTCTCGCTGGCCGCGTGGAAGACCCGGCAAAGTTCTCCAGGGATAAAAGCAGGCCCATTCTCATAGGCTTGGGAGTTTCCACCAGAGAAAGAAGCAGCTATTTCCTGAATCAACAACATATGGAATTTCTGAATTCCGCTACCAATGTGTTTTAAACTTTCTTACATCAAACCAGGAGTAAGACTCTTTTACCTCAGTAATTCTCGGGATGACCTTTTGTTCGATAAAGACAGAGAGCTGCGCCAATACAAGGATGAGACCCGCATGAATTTTCTCACACGATTTTCCTTCCATCAAACCTTCAGTCTCGTTTGATGAGCTAGTTTTGCCTGAGAGCGCTAGAAAGTGAGCTTCAAGTGACCTGAAGAAGTCTTGAAATCCTTTCTGAATCCAACCAATGAATAAGTCCTTCATCTTGAGAAATATTCCAGTATCTTCATCAAGAAGCTGAAGGAAGTCCTGAAACGATAAAAAAAAAAAAAAAACGTTTTTGAGCATGGAATATTTTACAGAGGAAATGATTTCCAAAATATAACATTATCATAAATAACAGAAGAAGGAATCTGCCTGAAATAAATCTGCGGTGCCTTGAAGAACTGCCTTTCTGCTATCTTCAAGGACAACCTTCAATATCTCCCCGTCAACAACTTCCTTTTGGTTGATATCGAATTTCAAGAGAGTATCTGCCACGTATAGAGACCTTACTTAAGTTTTGATTTCTTCAAAGACTAAACTTCATGAAGAAATTAATCTACTCTTAGTCACTTGCTGCCCCCTTTATCAAATTATTCAAAGGAGCCATGTCATAGGACGTAGTTTGAATTATTTTAGCTACACTCTCTCTCTATTTCTCTAACTAAGATATTCGAAATCGAGTAGATATTCAAAAACAGCGAACCTGATATATCTTGTTGAAGATTGGAGAACGTCCTTGCAACAAATTGCTTAAGAGTAACCTGGGCAGCCTGAAATGATGAGTTCGAGTTAACATATACAGGTCTACTCATCATAACGAAAAGAAGAGTGACATAGAGCAATTGAACGGCCACCTCCGCAGATAAATCAGAGAGTGCAGCCTCAGGTAGCACCTCGTCCATAAGTACCACATCTTCCCATATAATTCCTATGTCCAACAGAAATCAGACAAGGAATACGATTATTAGACTGATTAAATCAAAGCTTTTCAGAGGGAAAGGGAAGTAACGTAAGGAAAGAGATACAAGTAAGAGACAACAGCACGAGGAAAACCACTGCACTCACGAAAAATTCCAAGAAAATCTGCTGCAGATACCCGTTTTCTTATATATACTTCCATGTTCTCAAAGTGCCTAACAACCGTAAGTGTTAGAAATTCCGCGGGTCAGACGCAAACAAAGTCTCGGTTTATGGATAAATGTATCAAAGAAAAAGTACATTACATCGTTGTTAAGGCTCTTGCGAGTTTACAAAGTCTTTCTTCCGAGTCAGGGAATATTTCTCTGTAAGCGCGCATGGCCTCAGAAAATCCACGTACAGCGTCCTATCAGAAAAAGGGGGGCACACAATAAAATATCGAAAGTGCAGAAACAACTCGTAAAATCTGACAGAACAAAAATGAGTAAAAGAAATGAATTTTCAGTGTGATGGCTAATGAGCAAAAATCCATTGAAAAGTAGTTGCTGATATCCAAGGTGATTCGCAAATACACTCAGTATTACTGTGTTCCAACTTGCAATTATCAGAAACACAAGACAGAAGGAAGTGGCATAGTCCATGTTTACCTCATGAATTTTATCTGGACCTTGGTTATTACTTTCCGCATCCTTGGATGAATCATTGTGCTCTGCAAGTTTACTTGCCTCCTCAGGCTTTATTTGAAGACCATCAAGAGATTGTTCCAGTTTTTCCAACAGCTTGGCCTTTAAGCTATCAACCTGCAGGACGTGCGATCGAAATATATATCACAGCAATCAGTTGATACGTCCATGCAACAAAGAAAAAAATTCAGCTGCATATAATGGATTATGAACATCCGGAACATTGTAAATGCTTTAACAGACTAAACAGGTCGCAAATAATTGATAATTGAGCTGAGAGAAGGAACTAACAGGGACATCTAACTGCTTAAGAAGTACTGCAGCTTCAGCTCTGGCCTGTATGGATTCTGAATCTGAAAATAATTTCGTCTGTCGGAAAAGAAAAATCAAGTTTCTCGCATAAAGAATTACAGTATAAGGAATAACAAATAAAAACGAAAAGACCAGTTAATTGTTTATTAGGTTAATAAACCCGTAAGACTTCTATTAAAATTCAGACTATTATAGACTACTATGACCAAAAGGTACACCTGCAAGTTCTTTATGATGATTTCTATAGCTTCTTCGGAAGCTCGTCTGCAGTCTTGGAATGATGTATCACCATATACCTGAACAGAATTAGAAATTCATTTGTATATTAAGAAAGAAAAACGGCCCACAAACACTAAAAGGATACAACAAGAAATGGGAAGTTATCCGGGGACAGATATAAACCTTGAGAATTGGCATTGCTCCAGTATAGAACCTGACAGCATCGCCATAGCCTTCTGACTTGATGCATTTTTGGAGTCTTGCAGGTAAATCATAGATGAACTGCTCTTTTTTACAAAAATAATTTCTAATTAAATTTACAATAGCAAGCAACATTCCACTGTTATAATGATCAGGAGGCAACTATATAATATAGCATAGAAAACGAGGAGCTAGCAACAATAGTTTATAATCTACCTGAACTTTACGAAGAAGATTACGTGTCCGGTGTAGTTTCTCTATATGTTCTCTCTTTTCAAAAAGAGAAGTGTTGACCCCATCACTCCTTGATTGCACCGACATTATCTGCAGCAGTCAGTTGAGAGAACATACTACGGATCAGAAGTTCATACAACATTAAGTCGAAAACCTATAACTACACGTTATTCCATTTGTCCAAAGCACCTTCTGAAGAAGCTGGTCCATATTGCCTTCCATCCCAAAAATATTACTCTTCATCCTACCAGGTTAAAAAAGCAACATTTTGAACTTAGTATACACAGATTCCCGAGCGGTGTACTAAAATCATACAGAAAAATTGTTACAATAATTAAGAGGATCACATACTCAACACCTGAAATGATCCATGAGCTATTTAAAGTACCTTTTGATGGTATCTGTTGCACTGATAAACTTGTTGTAGTTTTCATAGACTAGCATTTGCAAGTCTGTGTCTAGATTCTTAATCTCAGCAGCCATTTGAACATGTCTTTGCAGAAGCACCTCCAGATTTGACTTTTTAATCTGCACAAGCCAATCAAACCACCAGATTGTGGCAAATTTGTCAATCAAATCGCTCGCACCACACTTAACGGAAACCTCATAAACCCAATGGAGCGAGGAACTATCATCAACCATTGCAGGAAGATCTTTAATAGGGACAATTTAATTTGGCAGAATTCTCAGCACAGAAATAAACAAAAACCGGCTAGGAGAAATTTAAAATTCATGACAGGCCACATTGATCCATTTCTGTAAAACCAAAATCAAAAGCCATCTACAAGCACCTTGCTTGGATGGAGTAAAAGGAGCCGAATCTAGCTACGAAATCCTGTACGCATAATCCGATTGGAACTTGGTCGAGAAATACTCAATAATGGACAAGCTATGGAGGTCTGTGTCAAGAGTTTCACGCATTCTTTGGCCAGAAAAGGACAAGAAACGAAGACTAACCATGAGATCCATGTACTGATCGGCATCGAATGAAGTGCTGTTGATGTTATCGAAGGAGGCGTTGATCGAAGAACCACCTGTCGAGATGGAAGGATCCGGAGCGTAAAAGCTCGACAATAGATCTCTCATTCTCTTCGCCTTCTCATCCATCGGAGCCGCCTCCGTAGCCATTTTTCTTCCTACTTCTTCTTCTTCTTCTCAAAATTCAACCACACACAGATTCGAAAATGCAAGAAGAAATCGGATCCGATCAGTCAATTGATGAAATTGATCAGCATAGTTAGTTTCACTGTGGTGAGAGTCTCTTGGGAGATAGTGGTGGGTCACTGGAAACGGAGCCGTGTATCCGACTCGAACTACGTCGAGGTTGGTCCGAGCTGTGTTTAAAAGTTTTAAACCCGTCCCTGGGGACTACGAGAACCGGTTTCCGGTTAAGTGGTTCGGGATTTACTTAATTCGTTCGCCTGATTACTTACTGTACTTGTAGTTGATCACTTAGAGATCGACTGATACTGGTCTTTTTACAGGATTCAATCCAGAGATGTAATCGAATTATTGCATTTAATTTAGTAGTAATTGTTATAAATCTATCATATCCCCGATTAATTTGATGCAATAGCTGAAGATATAATCCAGTTTAACTGCTACTGATTAGCCAAAAAAAACAACACTATTTGACACTTATTAACCAAAAACAACACTTTGACATTGATTAACCTTAATAATTTATCTCCTAATTGTTTAAACCACTATACAAACAATAAGGATAAGCCGATGTCCCAATTCACTATATTTAAAATTTTAAAATAAATGAGGCTCATTTTTTTTTTCTTTTGGTAAACTCATTTGATCTTCTTCTCACCGTTCATCAGTGAGATTGGTGCTTTCTGGCTCTACGATGAGTAATGGCTGAATCATCTTTCTTGGAGCCTTCAGGTTTACGAGCCCAAGCCGGTGCTTGGTCTGGTCCATATCTGTAGTCATAGAAAAGCTCCTCACTCGCTTCTATTCGCTCGTTTGCAAAAATTCCGACCCTGTGATCTCCTGCCACAAACATCACCTACACAACACACAAACACAGTTTTCTTGGGGTCTACATAGCACATCAACGAGTATTTTGAGCGACTAGAGGCGAGAGAGAAGGTAAGAACTACTAAAACAATCATGTGGTTTTGTCATACAAAAACTGATATGAGAAAGAAGCTTCTAGTACCTTAGCGTAGCAATTGGGTTTTGCTGAGTGATTGGCAAATTTCAGCTTGTCTCCTTTACGTTGAGCATCGAGGACGTACTGCAAAATATTACAAAAAAAAACTTACTTGTACATACAAAGTTCAACAGGCAAACCTTCAGGAGGAAGGTGAGAGAGAGACTAGTCACCTGATCATTCAAGTCAAAGAGGAAGGACGAATTTGCCCGGTCATATATTTTCCCACGCTTATCCGCCTCACGGTGTGAGATCAATTCGCCAGTGTATTCTCCGAGATACTCATTTTTGCTAACCGAGTTCTGATGATCAGATGATGATAAGATTACTTACAGATAGAGAGAAGGGCCTATGGAAACAACAGTTAAATAGGAAGACATTCACATGCTTACCTTTAGAAAAGCACCCCATCCAGCAATATCGGACTTCCCCAAAAGAATCTGGTAAATAACACACAAGAAAACAAATCTTTCAGCAACGAAAGCAATTCGTTTGTATATATATGCGATTTGATGACGACATTATACCCTCTGTTGTTGCCTCAGGAGAAGTCTCATGTTTCCGCATTGGCCTTCTCCGCGTCTTGGTGCTTCGCCAAGAGAACCATCTCCACAACTGAGTATATGAGCAAGTCTTTGTAAATTAGTAATCAAACAATAGACTTTGAGCACATCAAGATATTTAGATTTAAATGGATTACCTAACCCAGCAGTTTCTGCAAACATCTGGATCGCATTCTCGGCCAGCAGCAAAGCAGGGACACTGCCTGCTTCTGCATTGACTCTTTGCACAATGACATCCTCGGAAACGATTTTTGCAACTTTTTGAGCACCTGAATTAAATCAACCGATGGGTTAAAGAAGGTACTGAATTACTTCATTCACGTAAATGTTTTGTTTTTTTTTGTTGCATATACCCGCAATATTTCTCGCAGCAAGTTTCATTAGTTTGACAAGGGCATTCCTTTCCGCACATTGACTGGCATCCACATGGTGTGTACTGCTTACAGGACTGGTTCTTGCCACCGGCGATTCTTTTCCAGACAGATGGATGACCAGCAGACTTTGTAGAGTATTTTAGCTTCCGGGTTTTGCCTTTTCTACGGAACAATCTTGTCCTCGGAGGCACCTCATCATCCTGTCAAGTAAATAATTAATAAGAGAGCAGTATCATGATAATATCGAGAACATTGTGAACAAAATAACCACGTGTCTAAGCCAAGTTATATAGTCAACTATCGTTTTGTCTTTCCAAATGTTGTTTCAGAGAAAACTAAGGAAAAATGGCTTTTCCAGATTAGAGCTTTTTGGTGGATTAGATCTCTAACCCTATCAGTCTGGCAAAAAAACATTTCTAGACACCAATGCCCATAGTGGTAGATACTACTGAAAATTGAAAAGAAAAAATAACCTAGAAGACAAAGAGCTTACCTCATTCCCAGGGTCAGTCCTGCCATCATCCAACAGCAAGTTTGGGGTGCTAGATCTTCGAATAACTGAAACTTCGTTTTCACGCATGTAACTGGACACATCTAGGCATGTCTTTAAGCCAGAAAGCAGGTTTCTTGCAATAAGACAGCTGAAATTGCATGGAGAAAAAGAAACTAGACGTAAATACGTGGTTTGTGTTTTGAAGACAATAATTTACCAAGATCCATTACCTGTTTCTCCCAAAGATTTCTACTCCCTTCAAGTAAAGATCCTTCTCAACTGGCTTCCACTCTGTAGATGGATGATTTGTCTCAGACATTTCTCCGATATTTATTGTTCCGTTTCCACTACCATGCTCTGGCTGACAAACTGATGAACCACCATCATTGACCGACTTGTCTGGAATAGGCTCAGCTACTTCTTTTAAATCAGCTCCTGAGTCTCCATTTACTTCATTAGTATCGGATGTTCCACCTTGATCCCCCTTTGTGCTACCTAATGCCTGATCTAAGCTAGGGATAGGACTGACACATGACACTTTTGCATCTGAGGCTGCAGTCTTCTGTTTCTTGTTTGACAAATTAGGCAGATCACTGGAGTCTTCGAGATTCCGGATCTCACGCTTTCCCCTACTTTCGTGGTCTTGTTCTACACCAGAGGATAAATCTAAATACTTGGAACCAATACTAGTGTTTTCAACTTGCAGACTGACACCACCACTAGCATCATGATGGTCATCAGAGGAGACAGCTTTGCTGCATTCCTCTTCTGAAGCTTTCTCTTCTGTTTTAGATGCAACATCACTGCTTGCTCCGAGTACTTCTCTGACCGCCTTAAGTTATAACCATTGACATTAGAACGATGGTAATTTAAACTTTGTTCCAAGAGGAACTCATACATAAACAAGACTATGCACTCGTACAACTATGATGAAAGATCACTCCTCTAGCAGACGCATACATGCCAAACAACAACCTATTTCAGGATATATATATATATATATATATATATATGACATCAATCCCATGATCTCACTGTTTACTCACTGTTTAAATATAATTTATTGAGTATTCTTCAAAAAAAATAATATATATATATATATATATATATAGTTTATTGAGGGGATACACTAAACTCGAAACATGTCATGCTTTGCTAGTGTCAGTGAGCGTGTAAAGAGACATTGAGAGATAGACCTGGAGGTAACAATTTTTGCTGCAGGGGTTCCTATCACCTTCATAATCAGACCAATAAGGCTGTTTTTCAGTCTGTCAACCAAAAGTTCTCTGGTTATGTTGTTCACTGAAACTTGAGCAATAAAACTAAACAGAGTAAAGACTGGTTCAAGCTTACAGCACTAATCAAAGGCTGAGAACATCCATGCAAACGACAGTCAAATACCTGTTAAAAATGACAAAAGAAGGATAAACATGATTAACAACGGATTAGTAATACATAATCTCTCGGTCACAAAAGAAAGATCCAAGTACCAAGCAACGACGGCAAAAAAGATTATCAAAAGAATCTAGAGCAGCACTAAGGCCCTTTTCCAGAAATATTCCCAGCTTGAATCTGGAATCAGAGAAGTTCTCAACATTCTGTTCATTCTTCAACTTGAGCTCATTGAATCTTTCCTGCAGCAGAAAGGTCTGTTAAAACCATTCGTGAAATAGAATAGGAAGACCAGAAACACATAATTAGATAAACCAAAAGAGCAAGGTGGCTAAAACTGCACCAGAATATCTGAAGCATCTAAGCTGAGGATCTGGCAGAGAGCATCCTGCACTTCCTCACCCATGCCATACTCCTGCCCAATCAACCTGCCAATTCAACTCAAACGGTAATTAAGACATTCATATATTGTGAGATCATTTTCAAACCTACTGCTAATGCAGAGTCTTTACAGAATGAAATTTGATATGAACACGTCGACACGCTAGATGCCATCTCTCTCTAGCATCAACAAATGCGATTCATTGATAAATAAGTTCCACCCAGGTACTTTTTTCCTCCTTCAAATATCAAGTTAAGTTTGCCAATATAACAGTTTTCCCCAATTAGAACATATAACAGTCCATGCGTCACCCTCTCTGCATAACTAACCATATGACGCTGTCTTCACCCTCAGAATATTCACGTCTTTCTTCCTCAGGTTCTGGCTCTTCCTCGCTATCGCTACATATTAGTGTTTCCCCGCCATGTTGATCATAGTAGATTTGTCTGCGACCAACCACAGACTGATCTTCAGCCATTCTTTGATTTCTGCATTATCAAGGGATATTTTCAGAAAGAGAACTATATCGGGTGATTTAGTCTATCGTTAAATGCAGAAAATTTCAGGACTATTAAATTATTGTGGCACAAGACAGAGAATCAGAAACTAAAAGAAGAGAAGAGTGACATAGTCTATTGTATCCAAATCAGTGGAGAAAAAGGCAAAAATGTGTCTAATAGATACGTATACGAATGAGGATATCAAAATGAAACTCCCAGAGCCTACAGTCCAGACAGACAAAACGGCCACAAATGCACTCAAAACTATGTGGTAGTTATAGACGAGAATGAGAAAAGAAAGTGCATGCCTGTCCAAAAATATCCAGGTAGTGTATGGCGGTATTCTCTCAGCAATCGGAAGCTTGATACTTGCTGATATAACATCCTTAGTCGGAATATAGTCTCTATCTCCCACTCCATGAGAAAAACCATTTAACTTGCATAGTGGTTTTTCCATTCTCGAAGAAAACATATTGCTATTTCCATTATTCCCTGCGTCAGCACGGCTTGATGCAGCAGATGAAAGCGGAGAAACATGAGCATCCACTTTCTTTCTGTTAGTCTCAAATTTTTCCTGCATTTCCATAAATGATTGAACACTGAGGAATGAATATAACTAGTAAAGAACATCATGGAAAGAAGCCAAAGAAAGAAAGAAAAAAAAATCCCTTACTTTAACAGACCTAACTCTTTCACCTTGAATATTCCTTTTAAGCTGACTCAACTTGTCCTCCAAACCCTCTAGACTATTAGCATCATCGTCATCTACATGAGACTTCTATTTAGAAGTCCAACAAATGTTAAACATTCAAAACACAAATTGTGAAGAAAATCCAAAATAAAAAAAAATAAAAAATCCATAGTTTGATTAATATCAGCTCTCATACAGCAACGTTTTTCCAGGTAGATTATCAACCAGAACATATGAGACTCTATCTAGCAAAACGAGTGTGAAAAAGGGGCAAACAGCTGAAAAAAAAAAACAATTCCTTCGTGAGAATTTTAGGATCATGGGGCAATAAGCTTATAATCCGAGCAGTAATGGTTCGAATATCCTCAAAAGTTCTCCAAGAATTTCATTAGGATCAAAAACGGAAAAAAAGGGAAACTAATCCTATAAGCTCCATCAACTCCAACACTAAACAAAAGGACTAACAATTAATAATTACTCGATTTACAAGGGAAAAACGAGAGAGCGCTTATAGCTAAATAAAATCGAACGGATTCCACGATGAAATCAAATGAAAATAAAAGTGCGAATGATCACGCGAATACGAACAAATTTAGATATGAATTCAAAACCAAAAAGAAAAAACGAGGAGATTGAAAGGTAAATCTGACTCCGATTCTCCCAGAGGAGTCGCAATAATCCGTCACCATTGAGGACTCCTCGAGCTTCCCGCTTCTCTCCCACTCGAACTCTCTGCTTTCTCAAAATCGGACTTAAGAAGGAATCGATAATAGTGTGGACTAAACAAGGGAAGAAGGGATGATAATGATACATACAAGGAAAGCCACACGAGTGAATAAACAGTACTTACACGTGTGGATATTAAATATATTTTACTCTTTTTTTCCTCTTCTTTTTACCAGGTTTCTTATAATGGGCCTTTACTAAAGTAGTAGCCCATATATGTATACATAAGTTGAGCAATTTGATCACAAAACAAATTTTTTTGACTGAACCAAAAGTTATCTTCAATTTATGATTTTTTATTATGATTAGATATGGCAAATATTTGTTAAATATAAAGAAAGAAAGAAATAAGTGGCATATATATATATACAAAATTTTATTCTCCAGAAAGGAGAACTCCATATCCAAACTCTAAAAAGCTGTAACAATGTCTTAAACTCAAAGCTCCTCTGCTCGAATTTTCTCACCTTTAAGTTGGAGAAAACAAAAATAAAACAAAAAAAATAAGTGAGAAAAAAGCCATGGTTCTTTCTTCACCGGCCTTCATGAAGATCTTCAGAGAAAACAGTTGTTCGTGTAATATTTTCATGATCAAAGGCACTTAGACCAGAATAAGGACCAGAAGAGAACATAGAAGAAGTTACTTCTGACTCGAACGTAGCCGACGATTGTCTCCGGTTAGGACGAGCTTTGTTAGAAGTGTTTAAAACCGGGTCTTGATACTCAACGACCCGTTGAACCATTTTAAGCGACTGAACCACTTCACCCATCGTCGGTCTTTGGCTAGCTTCAGGTGCAACACAAGCTGCAGCTATTGTGCAGACTCTTATGAAATCTTCTTTTGGGTATTTTCCTTCCAGTCTTGAATCAACTAGTTCCTCTATCCGGTCTTTGTCTCTAAGAACTGGCCTTGTCTGCATCCAAAATAAACATTTTTACATTCAAGACCTGAGACAGAGATAGCATAAAACCCGTGAGACAAGAGGCGAAACAAGGCAAGAACTTTTACCCAAGTGACAAGGTTTTCTTGGCCTGAAGGTTGTGACATATCCACAGGTTTTCTCCCAGTCAATAACTCGAGAAGGACCACGCCGTAACTATAAACATCACTTTTGACGAGTAAGTGTCCGGTCATCGCATATTCAGGCGCTACATATCTGAAAAGAGAAAAGCGGATTCCAGATTTAGTAGGCGAATCATAATTTCTTGGTGTGTAAGAACCACTTTCACTTTCCAGAGAGATGAAAACCCACCCAAATGTGCCCATAACACGGGTAGATAAGTGATTACCCCTGCCCTCAGGAGCTTGTTTGGCTAGACCAAAATCTGCAACTTTGGCGTTGAAGTTGTTCTCTAGGAGGATATTAGAGGCTTTAAAATCTCTGTGTATAACCGATGGTTGCGAGTCTTCATGAAGGTATGCTAAGCCTCTTGCAGCATCAAGTGCAATCTTCATTCTGGTGTCCCAATCAAGTGGACAGTTCAACCCAAGAGGCCCTGAAGCATTAAGAAAATGAATCACCCTTGCAAGATATATTTCCGTGACGATAACTTCTTTCGGTGAATGATACTAGTGCCTAAGGGAAGTGAAGAATATTTACCATGGAGCCAAGCCTCGAGGCTGCCATTTGGAACCAGCTCATAACAAAGTAGGTGCTGAGAAGAATCTCGACTGCTATAGTAACCCACAAGTTTTACGAGATTACGATGATGAAGACGGCTTAGCATATCAATCTCCACCTGAAATTCTCTATCGCCTTGTGGTCCTCCACTTGTTAGCTTCTTGATTGCTACAGCAGTACCATCGGCTAAGATGCCTCTGTACACTTTGCCAAACCCACCTTCCCCTAGAATGCTGGCAGATTCAAAATTGCTAGTTGCCTCCTTGAGTTCTTCATATGACAGAAATCGTGTACTTGCTGGGTGGGGAAGCGACCCCCCAACTGAAGCAGGGTCCAGGTTCCTCGGTTTTACTGAAAGAAGGACGATGATATCAAGTTTACATAAGGATAAGAATTTCAGATTAATTTCGAAGAATTAAGAAAGTACTATAAATCACACTGGTGACGTTGGCAGCAATCATTGTCTATCTATGCATCCTCACTCAGTCATTCTTCATTTACCTTCCTCTGAGGCCTAAGGTCGGTTGGCTTTTACGTAATGCAAAACGATAGTTCTAGTCTTGATAAATAAAGACACAACTAACACTCAATATAAAAAAAAAAAACATGAACTACGGAAACTTTATACATTCTCTACACATGCTAACTTTCAGATGTGAGCTTTACATACGGCGTATTTCTGACATGATTCATGCATTCCGAACTGAAATCCACCAAACATGAAAGGGTTTAAACCTTGTAAAGAGAAGAGACGCATACCAGCTTCTTTGTGAGGATCAGGAGATTTTTCTTCTCGGAGAGCACAGGAACAAATAATAAGCACAGAGATTATGGCAACGATAAGCACACCAGCGGTTACAGCAAAGATTAGAATAAGATTAGGGTGCCTCCTTTTTCCGGGAGAACTCACTGATGTAGTGGCTGAGGATCCTTGTGATGTTACTTTTTGAGGTGAAGAAGCCACTAGAGGTGCTGCAACAGATTAAGACCTATCTTAATGCAATGTAAGGAATTATGGAAATATACTCCAAAAAGATAGTGAAGTGGAAATTATCATTGGCTACTTTGTTAAAAAGAAAACTAGATCAGTCTAAGATAAGAAGCTTAAAGCTTCCTTTCAGCAACAAAATATGGTACACTAAAATTCACATATTATAAAAAAAAAATATGGGCTACACACATGCGTGATGAAACTTTGACAACGGATGTGAACTCGAAATAACAGAATTAAATGGGGCGATTGCTTTCCCTAATAAAAGTGTAGAGAACTAGTTTACCTTGAGATGGTGCAGGGGCCTCAAACCAGGTAAAATTTAGAATTTTATAATCTCCCACCAAAGTAGTGCTGAAACGAATTTTGTGGCTGATAAGGGAAGAGTTTATTGCCGCTGCCTGACTTGCTGAAAAACTAATTCCAGAATGAGGTGTGATATCCATTGAAATGTTCATCCTTGATAAGCTTAGAAAATAGAAGTTGATCAGCTCGATTTGGTGAGGTAGGAGACCAAGCTGGGTAGCAAATTCAGTCAGGAAGATGTTCCAGCTAGGAGTATCTGAAACATTCAAGAGAAGGATATCCAGCTTTATAGGATATACGCAGTGGCAAGCAGTACTTCCTCGTTTCAGCACCATGTTTGGTTTGCAACAATCTGAAAGAACGAGAAGTAAACACATGAGTATTCAACTCGCATGTTACTTGCTACTATGCTAGTCTAATGTCAAATCAAAATGGGAAATTAAAGGGAATTTACAGTTCAATTATTTTTCAAAGGGCTAATGTTGATTAAACTAATTTAAAAGCAAATCAGAGGAAAACGAAGAAAGAAAAGTGAAAAAATGGGAAAACAAGTATGAATATGGTAAAAGACAAACATGAGATTGGTTATTGTCTTACTTGAAATGGAGGGAGACAAAGGTGGCTGAGTTAAGTCATTAGGAAGGGCACCATTGCTAGACTGTGTTGGAGCAATATCAACCAAGCCAGCTCCAGGAGATTGTGCATTCCTTTTCATTGATGGTTTGGAGAAATGTGAGCTGGCAGGGGGATGAGCAGAAGCGACCAATCGACTATAGCGAGGTGCTTCTGCTTGTTCTGGTGCCAAATGCTTTCTGTGAAACTGCGGAAATTCAGCTGGTAAGGGCAGATCAGGTGAAGTTGAAGGTGATAAAGATGGTGATATAGGCAGTCCTTCATATAGAGCATCAGCTAAGTGAACATTGAGGAGAGAAACCACACAATATACAGAAACCAACGCTTTCAACACCATTATCCTAAGGACATCTCTTTGAGAACCTGTAATTGATGCATCATTAGAGACGGTGAGATTAGAGGTAGGAGAAGAAGTTAACTAAAAGCTAGTCCATGCGATGTGTAAGATCAAAATCAAATAGAATTCACTTTGCTTATTTAAAGCAAATATCGTGTGTACCTTATTTAGAAACTAAAAAACTAAATCTTGAGCACGATCCGTATAGACCCATACTACATCCTAATTCATATCGTGACATTTAACCAAAATCAGTAACCTAGCAAGCAGATAAAGAAACAAAGTAACTAGATATCATCAATAGGTCCCATTGGATAGGCTAACTTCTTCCCATCCCGTACCAGACAAAAATAGAAATCCAAGATATCACTAACTTTTTTTTTTTGTTTTTCCTCCGATTTTATAACATAGACTAACTCTTCAAAATCGAAAACAACTATAGTTGGATAGATTGATAGGCGCGAATTTACCAGCAGAGCTCGCGAGTGAGAAAATCGACATCGCCGACACTTTCCCTTTGGCTTGAAAATACTCAGATCTGCTATAATCTACACAGAACCTTCGCCGCGAGAACAGCAACTCACAGGGTGAAGACGAAACGTAAAAGACCTTTAAACCCGAGGAGCATCTACACGGGTTTTCGAAGGTGGATCCGAGAACGGAGATATATTTAACACAATATACGAAGCTTCCGAAACCCAAATCAGAGAATCCGCCATCGCCGCCAACGAGATTTCAGCTCTGTGAAAATTTTCCGTTGGCGGAGATTTCGTCGGCTTCACTCCGCTTTTAGTACTGTAGAAGCTTCTCTCTCTCTCTTTTCTTTTTTCAGAAATAATTTTTTTTTAATTCTTTTACTCTCAAATGTTTATTTAATATTCTTTTCTGATCGTTTCGGATTTTGAATGCGCGACAAAAAGAGGAGAAGCGTGCGGCGCACTTGAGCGTGTATATGTCCACGCTAAAATGCGCCTTAACGGAAACGAACATTAACGGTAGAATCAAAGAATAAGCGTCACTGTCAGTATTTATTCACAAACCGACTTCATTCACCGGTGGCACGCTTCTGTAACCTTTTTTTTTTTTTTTTTAATATCCGTTAATTAAAACCGAACCTCACATTGGGGATCTTCAGATATGCTTCGAATGTTTGACCATTTCAACGCCAAAAATTCGTAATTTAATTTCCCCAAAAACTAAGCTTATCAGTGAATTCCAATTTTCAACTAGTTGAAGACAAGTGATTATCAACTAATCACCTCGTTAGAGCTCGCATAGTATCCCTATATTATTAGACCCGGAACCAAATTTTATTGGCATAATAATATAATAATTTGTTTTTCTCTTATTTCATGGACTATTCGTCTATAATCCACAGATGCATATTTGCGAATTTTAAATTAGATTGTGGCACATAAGCAATCACAATTAGTTGTGGGTTTAAGATTTTAAATCTCTTACAACATTCTATCTACATTTTTTTTGTTATTATATGACTTCGCTATTCTAGGTATCAGTAATCGGTTGACAAAAAAAAAAAATTGATTATTTCGATTTTGTTATATTTTGTTTATCAAACAACTCACATATACGCATTACCGAGTTTAAACAAATACAAAAACTAGACTAGTATGTAATCTCCCTTTACGAAAGAGATTAGCATATACAACAAAATAAAATGGAAACTATAATTTTTCATTTCGTAGGTCGAGATGGTTAAAGTTTATACCACAGAACATATGGTCGGTGCATCTACTCATATTACTTTTCATAAAAACAAAGAATTAAGCCATGGGACATTCCCCGGGATTTAATTTCCGGCGGCCGGCGATTGAGCATGTCTCAAGACACGGTTCACTAACATTGCCATCGTCCTCCGGTGGAGCTACCCCAAACTTAAACTGTTGTGATTGGTAGATAAAACACACACAAGAAAGAAAGAAAGAAAAACTCAGAGAGAAACATCAAAGATGGGTTATTGACTGGACGAGAAACATTGTACATTATATGAAGTTTCATGAAGTTTATCCACGAACTTGTATATTTAACTAAATCCCAGACTTTCAATGCTCATTTGGGACCAATCCTTTATAGTTGGATCAGTATCTCGTTTGGGTATAGTGCGCTGGTATATGGTTAAAGGGGTTCCATCTCCTAACCAATTACAAAATGACTACTAAGTTTACAGATATTTGATTAGGTCGCTTCAATGGGGTCTCATCTTTTTCCAGTGTCAAATAAGATTCCCTAATAGTTTAGAGTTGATATATCTGTTGTTAGAGAAGGGGCAAGCAAGAAGTACCTGGCAACTATGATCTTTAAAGTTTGGTTCCATCAACAGAGGAACTCCCATGTAGTCTTTAAAGAATGTCTGGAAAAAAGTCAAAATTCCACAGTTTCAGGGATTGATCAAGAACATTACCAAAAGCTTCAAATTCAAGTCTTGTTTAAGACAGACACTAACTCAGAACGGTACGTATTGGTTGATTGGTTTAGTTGGATTGCAGAAGAATACCTGAGTTGGTAGTTTACATGTATGGATGCATACTCCCACACATTTGCTCTCTTCTAGATACTGACATTTCTCCACAAAAACCTACTTGGGTTCCAACTTCCCTTTGTTAAAGAAAGATAGCAACAAAGAAAACAGAACGAATCATATAAGAACAGATGCAAACTTAGGTAAGATAATTACCCCACTATCCCAAGATTCTCCATTTGGAAGATCAATGATATTTACTTTGCAAGGTCCCATGAGCCATTGACAGGTAAGTACAGTAACTCTTGCTACAGTGAGGGAAAAAAACAAAAAAAAACGTTTAGCTCGCTGGATGCAAATAAGTATCTGTGATTCACAATGTAACTGTAACCCATATTTTGATAATTTGTCAATTAACATGGAAGTGTGGTTTAAGGAGATTGAAGATTCAAACAGAACATACCAACCATCAATGCAGCTAATTTCCCTTGTGCTATAGGAGCAATGAGAAGCTTGTAAAGCTCTAATATGAGCGGAGGAAACAACGATTTCAGGATTCGCACCTGTATCCACCAAAAGAACTGAAAGGTAAGCACTCGATCAAAACTTCAACGAAAACCCAAAAAAAAAAAAAAAAACTCAGCTAAAGTTTTGTATAAAAAGGGCTTCGAGGGACGAGAAATATACCGCTGCATCATTTGTCTCCGACCTAGTTCGACCTTTTAACAAGAGAAGCTTCACCAACTCAATAAGCCCAACGTAACCGGGTTTCTCTGAATCCGACCCGACTTCCTGTTATGAGCATACTTGAACATGAACAAGAACATTAGCCTAATAATGTGTATTTTCAGAAGACGAAATCGGCTTCAATCCTAACCCTAAAAATAATGAGGAAAACCAAAACAACCCCATCGGCATTTGCAGCTCACCTCGACCAGTTTGTTCCTGAACGAATGCATGAAGAAATCGTCGAGAACTCCTGGCTTGTACTCCGATTTCGAAGCACCTTCATCAAATTTAACCTGCGAAAATCACACAAGGATCTGGATAAAGACGATGTATCCGCGTCGAAAACGAATTATTCGAGAAAGAAGCTCAAAAATCGGAACGACCTCTGAGGAATCAGAGACGCGGCAACGAACACGGCGCGCTCGTGGGATGGACTGTGGAGAAGATGAGTAGGAGAAGGCGACATTCGTCGGAGGAGGAACTTGGAGAAGGAGAGCCATTTCTTTCTAGCCTTGGAAGTTTGCGCCGGAGAATGCAAAAAAATAAGAAAAGACAAATACACTACACGCCGTTTTAGATATACCAAAACGACAAATAGTTATATTGTAAGCCCTTTTAAAACCCTGGCAAAATCCTTGAGAGAGACGACGACTAAGTGACAGTGTGAATTTGTCATTTCAGTGATTCACTGAGAAAATTCGATATCTGATGATGATGTATTCCGTTTCACGCCTCGCGAGAAGGTTCTGTGCAACGCTCGCTGCTGCTGCTCCGGCGGCGATTGGCGGCGAGGCTGCTGCTGCTTCTGTTCCGAAGAAGACGGCGAAAAATCAACGCTCGGTGTACAAGAAACTCTCGAGCCTTGGCAAGAGGGGAGGAAAAATGGAAGAAACGCTGAATCAGTTCACCATGGAAGGTATCCCTGTTAAAAAAGACGACCTTATTCGCTACGTCAAGGATCTTCGCAAGCATCGTCAACCTCAACGCGCCCTCGAGGTTAGGAATCAGTGGCTTGAGCCTAGCGGATTCGTAATTGATGAAATAGCTTACCCAGAAGAAAAAAAAAATTGATTTGAGTAATGGAAAGAACTGTTTGTGGATTTAAGGCACTATTGTTAAAAGCTTAATGTCTTCAAAGTTTTAGGCTTTCTGGATCAAATGCTATATCTAGATAGAAACTTTCATGTGACTGATTCGTTTCTCCAAATTTGGCTTGTGGGTTTTTTTTAAGAAAGAATAGTAAGTTGATTATGTTTTTTAACAGCACATGAGCATCAAATGTGCTTTTCTGGATATGTTGATAGGAGACACATGAAATGGAGTTTCTTGGCATGTATAGAGGAAACAAAAAACAAATGTTGCTTAGTTACTAAGATTCTTATCTTGTTTTTCTGTCTCTGCTTGTTGTGTTTTGGTTTACCTTTCAAATTCTCAACAACTTGTCACACCATCCTGTTTTGTGTGTGTAGGTCTTTGAGTGGATGGAAAGAAAGGAAATTGCCTTTTCTGGCAGCGATCACGCAATTCGTTTGGATCTTATTGCAAAGACTAACGGCTTAAAGGCAGCTGAAAGTTACTTTAACAGTCTAGATCTCTCAACCAAGACTCAGTCGAGTTATGGCTCGCTCTTGAACTGCTACTGCGTGGAAGGCGAGGAAGAGAAGGCAAAGGCACATTTTGATAAAATGTGTGATCTCAATCTTGTGACTAACTCTTTGCCATTTAATAATCTCATGGCCATGAACTTGCGGCTTGGTCAACCCGAGAAGGTACCCGCCTTGGTTGTTGCAATGAAACAGAAGAATATCTCCCCTTGTGATGTCACTTACTCTATGTGGATACAAAGCTGTGGAATCTTAAATGACTTGGATGGAGTAGAGAAAGTCATAGAGGAAATGAAAGCAGACGGTGGTGAATGTCGTTCCTCATGGGATACATTTGCTAATCTGGCAGCAATCTACAGTAAAGCCGGTCTCTACAGTAAAGCAGAAGCAGCATTGAAATCTCTGGAGGAGAAGATGAATCCTCACGAGCGTAGTTCATATCATTTCCTCATTAGCTTGTATGCTGGAATTTCAAATGCTCCCGAGGTTTATCGAGTTTGGGACTTGCTAAAGAAGGGTCACCCCAAAGTCAACAATTCAAGCTGTCTTACTATGCTCCAAGCACTGAGTAAACTCGATGACATTGATGGAATGAAGAAAATCTTTACAGAGTGGGAATCAACATGCTACACTTACGATATGAGGATGGCCAATGTGATGATTAGCAGCTACTTGAAAGAGAACATGTACGAAGAAGCTGAGGCTGTTTTCAATGGTGCCATGAAGAAGTGTAAAGGTCAATTCTCAAAGGCGAGGCAGCTTCTGATGATGCATTTGTTGAAGAATGATCAGGCGGATTTGGCTCTAAAGCATTTCGAAGCAGCTGTTTCGAATCAAGACAAGAATTGGACTTGGAGCTCAGAGCTGATCCGTTCATTCTCTCTCCACTTCGAGGAATCCAAAGACGTTGATGGAGCAGAAGAATTCTGCAAAACCTTGACGATATGGAGTCCTCTAGATTCGGATACTTACACTCTTCTTATAAAGACTTACATAGCTGCAGAGAAAGCTTGTCCCGGTATGCGAAAGAGGTTGGAGGAACAAGAGATCGAAATAGATGAAGAGATGGAAGGTTTTCTTAGCAAGATTTGCCCTTGAAGAATGACTCTGTGTACTGATAAATCAATCAATCTTCTGTAATTTGAAGCAATATTTCAGACACATGTTCTCTTTATAGTTTGCGTTTGATCTATCTTGCTTTGTGAAAACTCAAAATCCACAACTTAAAGGACACGTTGTGGATTTTAAAGGCACCATTGTTAGAGAGTTACTGTTTAGGTTTTTTAGGATTTATCTCAACTCTGTTTCTTGGTTATGGCTTACGGGCAGATAAGGATCAAGATGTGGTGTATTTAGATACAACTTTCATGTGATCGATTTGGTTTGTGGATTTCTGACAAGTGATATAGTAAGTTGATTGTGTTTTTTTAAGCCTTTAAGAGCACAAAAGTATCAAATGTGTTTTCTAGATATGATGATGATATGGGAACAGATGAAATGGATTTATCTTGTTGTCTTTCTCTTCTATTTCTTATGTTTGGCTTATATCTTTTAAAAGTTTATTATACTGCCTTCCTATCTTTTACTTTAGCACCAAGAATATGATTCAAGGTCCAAGTATGTGACTGACCCAATTAAAAATATTAGTGATTTACATTAATGAAGATTTAATTTGATTATCATGTATCTTAGTTTCCTAATTCATGTAATCAATACTTCCATATACATATTGTACTCTTTGTCTATTTTATATCATCACTTTCACTACAAACTTATACAAGACCAGAAGTCCGCTATCTTTGTTGATGATATTTTTGATGAATCCATGCTATCCAATTTAAGCTTTAGTATACCCTTTATTTAATTACACATGTAATAAGATATACCGTAACCTATAATAATACCCAAAGAATCATAGATCATAATAACTTAATAAGATCACTGCTGATAAATATCTTTTTTATATTATTCTTTTCTTATTATTTTATTATTATGTACCATGGGTTTGTCTATTTGTAACATCAGAATTTGCCAAGTAGCATACATGCACGCGGACATGAAGAAAACACGTGTGTATATGACAAACAAATAAAACAAATATTGTAATAACCTTTACTCGAAAATTTTCTTCATTGCCCCCTTTAAATTCTTGACTGAAAAACTTATCATATAAAGTTTGTATTACGGAAGATCTTTCGCTGCCGACAAAAAACAAAAAGAAAGCCGACACAGAAGAAAAACGGAAGATCCTTCGCTCTATTTCGTATAATATCAGTTTTCCTAATCATAAAGCAATCAAATATTTCTCCGTTTTTAATACATTCAAATCCTCTCCTTGTTCAAGTAAAAATCTGGTAGATAGACAAATATCATGGAATTAGATAAATAAGGAAACTCGTAGGATCTTCCTTGCTATCTTAGCCATTTTCTTTATTTGTGTTGTGTATATATTGAGCAGAAGATCGCATTTTCATCTTCAAGCTTCCTCTGTTTCTTCGTTCTCTGCTTTTTTGCAAGTTCCTCTGTTTTCTCATGGCTCCACTTAACGATTCTCTAGCATCAAACATCAATGTCATCGAATCCAAACCTCTTGGTGTTTCACCGACTAAACCAATAACACAACAATCAAACTGTTTTAGCCTCTCCCAAGGGACTCTTCGTGCCAAAGATTCCTCTCCGATCCTCTTCGATGTCCCTCAAAACCTAACTTTCACACCATTTTCATCTCACTCCATATCCACTGATGCTCCTCTTCCAATCCTCCAACGCGTTCAAGCCAACGCTCACAAAGGAGTGTTTCTCGGATTCTCAAAAGAATCACCTTCCCATCTTCTCACAAACTCCTTGGGGAGATTCGAAAACAGAGACTTCCTCAGCGTTTTCCGGTTCAAAATGTGGTGGTCAACTGCTTGGATCGGAAAATCCGGGTCGGGTCTTCAAGCCGAGACGCAGTGGGTGATGCTAAAGATTCCTGAGATCGATTCCTATGTGGCCATTATACCAATCATAGAAGGATCCTTCAGAGCTGCACTAAACCCTGGTGAAAAAGGTAATGTCTTGATTTCTGCAGAGAGTGGCTCTACACAAGTAAAAGAGTCAACTTTCAATTCCATTGCCTACATTCACATCTGTGACAGTCCTTATAACCTCATGAGAGAGGCTTTTAGCGCAATCCGTGTCCATATGAACACTTTCAAGCTTCTGGAGGAGAAGAAGCTTCCTAAAATCGTCGATAAGTTTGGATGGTGCACTTGGGATGCTTGCTACTTGACTGTTGACCCTGCGACGATTTGGACCGGTGTTAAAGAGTTTGAAGAAGGAGGGGTGTGTCCCAAGTTTATCATCATTGATGATGGGTGGCAAAGTATAAGCTTTGATGGTGATGAGCCAGGAAAAGACGCAGAGAATCTTGTTCTTGGTGGTGAGCAAATGACTGCGAGGCTTCACAGCTTCAAGGAATGTAAAAAGTTTCGAAACTATAAAGGTGGATCCTTTTTATCATCTGATGCATCTCACTTCAATCCTCACAAACCGAAGATGATCATATACAAAGCCACGGAGCGGATTCAAGCGATTATAGAGAAACAGAAGTTGATCCGTGAATTTGGGGAACAAGATCTACCCCAAGTTGATGAAAAGATCAAGAAGTTTAGCGAAGAACTCAACGCAATGTTTGATGAAGATGGGAAACAAGATCATTCGGGTTCTGAGGATGTTTCAGGCTCAGGTATGGGAGCTTTCACGAGGGATTTGAGGTTAAGGTTTAAGGGTTTAGATGGTATATATGTGTGGCACGCTCTGTGTGGTGCTTGGAATGGTGTTAGGCCTGAAACGTTAACACATTTGAAATCCAAGATTGTTCCTTTTGAGCTTTCACCTGGTCTAGATGCTACAATGACTGATCTCGCTGTCGATAGGATTGTGGAAGCCGGGATTGGTCTCGTTCACCCTTCTAAAGCTCATGAATTCTATGATTCAATGCACTCTTATCTTGCTAGTGTTGGGGTTACCGGAGCCAAGATTGATGTTTTTCAAGTAAGTTGTTACATTAGTACTCTAGTTTATGTTACTTACTATTCTCTGTTTCTTCTTTACATTTACAATCTGTTGGTTTTGTGTGTGTGTTTGGTTTCAGACCTTAGAGTCAGTATCAGAAGAACATGGAGGAAGAGTAGAGCTTGCTAAAGCTTACTACGATGGCTTGACCAAATCCATGATTAAGAATTTCAATGGAACTGAAATCATTGCTAGTATGCAACAGTGCAATGAGTTCTTCTTCCTTGCCACAAAGCAAATCTCTATTGGCAGAGTTGGTAAGAATATGCAAAAGCAAAATCTATATAATGATTTTGCGTTTTACGTCTACTAACTTTCTAAGAATAATAATAGTCTAGCGAATAATATTTGATCAGGTGATGACTTTTGGTGGCAAGACCCACATGGTGACCCTCAAGGAGTGTATTGGCTACAAGGACTACACATGATTCATTGTTCTTACAACAGTTTTTGGATGGGTCAAATGATTCAACCAGATTGGGACATGTTCCAATCAGATCATGTCTGTGCCGAGTACCACGCCGCGTCTCGAGCCATCTCTGGTGGACCCATCTACCTCAGTGACCATCTTGGCAAAGATTCACATGACTTTGATCTCATCAAGAAACTTGCTTTCTTTGATGGTACCATCCCAAGGTGTCTCCACTACGCTCTTCCCACTAGAGACTCTCTCTTCAAGAACCCTTTGTTTGACAAAGAGTCAATCCTCAAGATCTTCAACTTCAACAAGGTAAATCAGTTTAGAACCACAATCAAAATGTTTAAAGATCGAGACTTTATTAAAACCCAGAAGATTTGTTGCAGTTTGGAGGAGTGATTGGAGCATTTAACTGTCAAGGAGCTGGGTGGAGCCCAAAGGAGCATAGGTTCAAAGGATACAAAGATTGTTACAAGACAGTTTCAGGAACGGTTCATGTCTCAGACATCGAATGGGATCAAAATCCAGAAGCTGCAAGCTCTCAGGTGAGCTACGCCGGAGATTACTTGGTCTACAAGAAGCAGTCGGAAGAAATCCTTTTCATGAACTCGAAATCAGACGCGATTGAAATAACCTTAGAGCCATCTTCGTTTGATCTGTTCAGTTTCGTGCCAGTCACGGAACTAGGACGTTTAGGGGTTAGATTTGCACCTCTCGGGTTGATCAACATGTTCAACTGTGTTGGAACAGTTCAAGAGATGGAGGTTACTGGTGATAACAGCATTAGGATTGACTTGAAAGGCGAAGGAAGTTTCATGGCGTATTCGAGTTTAGCTCCAGTGATGTGTCACTTGAACGACAGGGAAGCTGAGTTTAAGTGGGAAGAAGAAACTGGTAAACTCGGTTTTTATGTTCCTTGGGTTGAAGATTCTGGTGGCATTTCTCGTCTCTCTTTCACCTTCTAAGAATTTGGTTGCATTTTTTTTTTTTGCATTGTCTTATCAGAAATTGGGTGTTAAAATCCGAATTTTCTCTTTGTGCTGGTTTTTATTTATCCTTTAATTTAGAGAGTTATTAAGCAACTTTAATATCTATTGAATTTGGTATGCCTTTTTTCCGTTTTGGTCTGATTTTGCATGCTATCAATATTGATTCAATTCAGTTGTAATTAAATATATCATTGATTTTCCCAACAAAAAAAATTGATCTGAGTTTTTTCTTTTTTCAGTTCAAAATTTCTGGATATTAGAAAAAGAAAATTAAACCAAAATTTGTATGAGTTTATGAATTGGTTTGGAGTTCCGGTTCTGTTTCATATCACATTGTGTCGATTTATCCGCTTTTACCTCCTTTTTTGCACTTTCGCTTTGACCTTAGTTGATTCAGTGTTGTTGTTGTGATTTTACATTTTAAAATTTCCTCTGGAAAGAGTAATATGTTTTTGTTTATCGGAGACTCACACTATATATTGCAAAAAATAAAAAAGAAGTGTTCGTTTGTGTTTGTATTTTGGCAATATTACTCCCATATTACTGCCTTTAATTAGGTGGACCGATGATGGTTGACCTTTAGACAACTGTGTCATAAGACAATGGGACCGTAACGGCTATTTTTTGTCTACACATACATGAATGATGAATACGTGTGTCCTTAAATCGAAAAGACACATGGATGTCAAATAATAGGAATATGGTAAAATTTGAGTTCGAAACTAGTTAATTTGGGATTGATTATATCTTTTTGTTATCTAATAAAAATGGCTATAACCCGTGAGTTTTTTTTTTTTTTGGGGAGGGGGTAAGAAGAGGTTATAAGTCAAAGTCAAGAATTT